AGGTCTACCACAGCAATATCGTGTAACCTTATGTGCCTTACGATTAGTATTCAACATAACCTTACCTCATACTATTGTGCTATGTGGGTGGTAAGTATAATTTAACCCTAACCTGCACCTAACAAACCCTTGGTGTTTTTTCCTTAGATGAATTCAAATATTTTAAAATATTTTCATAAATTGCAATTATTTTCTTAAACTTTAATAAATTCTTCGAAATAATTCAACTATTTTTATACATACTAAAACTCTTTGCAAGAATTAAATAATTATTAACCCAATTAAAATAAAATTAAACGAAAGAATTTAATTATTTTCAAAAATTCCCATAAAATTTAGTTTCAACAAGAATTTAAAATTTTTGAAAAACAATTTAATTATTCTCAAAATACTTAAAAAAAATTCTATATAAGAATTAAATTACTAGCTCAATACAATTTTTGAATATATTCGTCAAAAGAATTGAAATAATTCTATTATTTTCGAAAAGTAATTAAAATTCTTATGATGAATTCAATTATTTTGAATATACTTAATTTTAATAAAATTCTTTAAAGAAATTCAATTATTTTCGAAACAACTTTAATTGAATTTTTCGAAAAAATTTCATGATTTTTAAATATTTCTATAAAATTCTTCATAAACCATTTAATTATTTCTTAAAATTTTAATAAATTCTTCGCAAGAAATTACTTATTTTCAATACAATTTTAATAAAATTCTTCTTCATAAAATTCAATTGCTTTCGAAATTTTCAATTAAAATTATTAAAGAAACTTCATTAGTTTAAAAAAAAAATCAAAGAAATTTTTCAAAAAAATTTAATTAGGATTTTTAAAAATATTAATAAAATTCTTTGCGAGAATTTAGTTATTTTTCTAAATAAAGAAATTCTTTGAAGGAATATTCTATTATTATCAAATTTTTTGATAAAATTCTTTGCAACAATTCGAAGATTTTCAATACATTAATTTTAAAATTGAAAATATTTGAAAAGAAAAATTAAAAAAAGATTAAGAAACCAAAATGTAAACAACAATTAACTTCAAACTGCGAATAGGTTACCGAAACATGTACTTTTTTATTATTAATTTATAAATATTACTTTTAACTGAAATGTTTTGACATTTTTTTTAAATAATAAAAATATTAATTTATGAATGTTTAAAGGTTATTATTATTAAACAATTTATTTATTTGCTGTAGTGTATTAGTGTCAATTAATGCTTTATTGAATCACTCAACAAGTCACTGAAAATAGAGCGTCTGTGTTCAGTCAGGTTCCGTAGCATAGTGGTTAGGGCGTTAGTTTCGTAGTCCGTAGTTCGTAGGTCGTAGGTTCAAGTCTCGCGTGCGTTAGATTTTATTTATTTCGTAGGTTTGCGTTTCTTCCGATTTTTCTGTATTGTATAGGTATAAGTATGCAATTTAATGATTATATACACCGTTAAATAATTTAATTAACAAATATTAAATTAAAATTTTTTTTTATATATAAATGGATATGCATTAATCCCCACATATATACTAACATTATTTATGAATTCGCTATTGGTCACGATTAAATTAAAAAAAAAAGTAAAAATCATTAAATAATAATGCCATTTATTAATAATTAAAGTTATTATAAAAATTAGTTAAAAATGATCTCAAATATGCTATGAGCAGTTTTTCCAGGGTTTTTGGAGAGGAAAGAATTCTGTAAGTAAGGGTCAAGCAGTATTTAATAAGGTTCTAGGAACACCTGCTTTCCCCCTTTTACCATCTAAATTTGTCGCTAACCAGGGGTTTGCAGGAGGTAATCAGAGTTAACTTGCAATGCAAATAAACTCTGCTTTCATCCTATTACATCCTTACAAACCCTCAGTTTTAAGGAGGTAAGCAGGTCTAAAAGTTCGACTCGGGCTCTCTCTCTCTCTCTCCATCTTTCTTTTTTTCTTTTGCAGCGAAAAATAAAATACTAGTGTTATAAATAAGTACTATCTCTTATAACTGGTGAATTGTTTTGTGACCTGGCAGACGATTAGTAATGTGAATTGTAAGCAGTCAGTGCCAAAAATTAGCATATTCAGTGTGGAAACGTTAAATTAAGTAGTATAACGTGATTCTAAATAACTGTGAGTATCCGGAAAAGTAATTTTAAAACTCTCTCTCTCTCTCTCTCTCCTTCTTTCTTTCTTTTGCAGCGAAAAATAAAATACTAGTATTATTAATAAAATATACCGATATAGAAGTTTGTGAATGTATAACTAGTAAATTGTTTTGTTATCTGTCAGTTGAAAAGTATAATGTTAATTAGAAGCAGAGGGTAGTAAAGTTTATTAGATTCGTTACGAAAAGGTTGAAGTTTTAGTATAATACTGAATAACTTTGAGTGTCAAATGTAGATTTTATATTTTATCTTTCTTTTTTTTTTCTCTTACGCGTGCAAAAAGGAATAATTAGTATTCTGATAACAATTAACGACGAACTTTGTGAGTACAACTAGTAAACCTATTTGTGACCTGTTAATTGCTTACTAAAGTGACATGTAAGCAGTGAATATTAAACTTCACCCGATTTGAAGTAGAAACACCAATAAATAATGTAGTCTAATTTTGAATAACTTTTAGTGTCATGCTGCAGTGCTGTTTATAATTTCATTTATTTATTGTGGATTAAACATTTTTAAATTTTGTTTTTCGCACTTGCATAAAATATTGAGTTTATTTAAATTTTTTTTAGAATTGGTTATCCGGTTTGAAAAATTATTATGTCTAAAACTGCCGGAAGGCCTGCAAAATCTCCATGTCATGTTTATTTCAATTTTGACGAAACGAAGAATCAGTACGTTTGTTTAGTGCCAAATTGCAAAGTTTCTTTTCAAGTAAGTTGTTTTTACAATTTCGTGTAATTAATATTTCGATTATTTATATGTATATTATATATTATAAATCACTAGAAAAAGGAAATGTTATTAAATATGTCAAGATAATTCTAATTTTAATAAGTTGTACTATTTTAAAGATAGTATTTATTGATTTTCAGAACAGATTTTTAATTCTGATTTTCAGCTGTTTTTCTTCTTCTGAAACTTAAATGTTACTTTAAAAGTTTTAAAATTTTGATTTTTGAAATACTTGAATTCAAAGAAATCTAATTGTATAGCTCGTGTTGTTTTTAAGCATTAAATATTATATTTTAATCTTTACAGATAAAACATGCTGGTAATTTTAAAAGTCACCTGAGAAACGCACATCCAGAAGAATACACTAATGTTTTAACAGCGGAAACAACTCATCGTCTGTCGAAAAATGACAACAATGTTGTTAATAAAAAAAGAAAGTTATTGGTTGACATATCATCAGACAAGCTAAAGTTAGCTTGTGTTACGTTAGTAACCACCAATGGACGCCCTTTCACATTACTTGAAGATAGTGGATTTAGGCAAATAATAAATCCCATTTTGGAAGCAATGAAGCCGGAAGAAAAAATCACTATTTCGCCAAGGACAATTTATGATGCAGTAAAAGTGTCTGCAATGGAATTAAAGAAATTAATTACTCTTGAAATGAAGAATGTAAGTAAATTTTATAAGCATCAAATACTAAGTTACAGTGCCGGCCAGCAGGATTTGCCAACCCTATTGCAAATAAAAACAATACATAATGTTTTTTATTTTAATTTTTAGTAACGAGAGAAAGTTGGTTAAGGTCTCATTTCACAGCTAATATTTCTTACTTTCATAATATCAAAATAATAAATTAAAAAAGCAAGTTCTTCATTGTTAAAATGCAATTAGTGATCATTCAAATATTACGTCATGCAAATTTGGGAAATTTTTAACCCGTCCCACCTATGTCACATTTTCTTAAATAGAAATTGGTCATTTTTACACAGGACTACTATATATAAAAATTAAAAATGAACTTTTTTTGTCCTACAAGTTTTTTTTAAATCAACTGTTTTCAAATTATAAACAATATTTAAAAATATCACGGAGAGAAGAGAATAGTGAAGGCGATTATCGGTTCATTTCTGATATCTAAACAGTTTCGGTAATTTTTGACGGATAAATTTAACAGTCGCATCTACTGCAAACAATAGTAAGAACGACTGTCCGTTTAGTCAGGGTTACTAAACAAGAACTAAACCGCCAGGGGCGCTACTATCGCTCTCCATGTATTTCTGCTACTAAACGCGTTTTCTTGCTACGACTATATATAACTCTTCTCTCCGTGTAGTCTTTTTTTAAACAAATAACGATAACTTTCTTAAAAATTGTCCTACAATAAATTTAAAAAAAAGCATTTGAAAGGAATAAGAAATATTTAAGTAATTTTTCTAATTTATTATTCTAATATTATGAATATAGAAAATATTAGCTTTGAAATGAAACTTTAACCAACTTTATATTTTTACTAGAAATTAAAATAAAACACTTTTTGTAATGTCTTTATTTGCAGGGTGGGCTTATCCTACTGGCCGACACTGTATCTTGACAAAAGGTTATTGTTGCACTTTCAACTAGTGATAAATCTTCTGCGAGTTCTTTTAAATCTACTTTTGGTGTTAAATTATTTTTTCTAAATAGTTTACTTCTGTTTATCTACCATATTTTTTAGATTCCTCTTATAAGTCTTAAAATGGACATTGCTACCCGGCTTAACAGATCTTTCTTGGGGATTAATATTCAATATGTTAAAGATGCTCGTATCGAGTTACGCACATTAGCAGTTAAAGAATTACAGTCTTCACATACTGGAGAATATTTAAAGAAAGTTATAATAGAAATTTTATCAGAATATGAAATTTCTATTGACAAGGTGTATACCACCACGACAGACAATGCGAAAAATATAATAAAGGCAGCATATCTTATACAGGATGACCAAGAAAATAACGCTACCAATATTGCTGAATCTATTGTTAACGAAATAGACACAAATTTAAGTCAAGATGAAAATGATAACGATACAGATGATTCTTCCGATGAAAACATCATAGATAATCTAGAAGAAGAAGAACTCCACGATATTGGCAGTAACAGTTCTGTTGCAACTCCAGTCCGATGTGCAGCTCATACATTACAATTAGCAATTGGTGATGTGCTTAAAAAAAAACTATGAAAAGAACAATTGCTAAGGTATTGAAAAAAACATTTCCTTCTTTTATAGAACCTTTAAAAATGTATTGTTGTTTTCTTTTTTGTTTCCTAACTGTTTTAATAATTTTTTTTCAAATTTTTAAAGTTTTAAAGTTATTGTATTAAAAGTCATTGAATTCTGACAATGAATGTTGTCAAAAAATTTAAGAAAAATTACATTCCTTTACAAAATTTTATTATTTATGAAAATAATCGAATTCATGCTAAAAATTGTAATAAAATTTTAAAAAAACATAATTGAATTCTTTTGAAGAATTTCTTTCATTTTTTTTAAATAATGGAGTTTCTTTAATAATTTTAATTAAAAATTTTGAAAGTAATTGAATATTATGAACAATTTTTTTTTCAAGTTTTTAAAATAATCGTGTTTCTTAATAATTCTAATTAATAATTTCACTATTAAAATTTTATTAAAATTATTCACTGAAAATTAAACATTTTTTTAAAACAATTTTATTAGAGTTTTTGTTAAAAATTAAATTTTTTATTACGAAATTATTCAAAAATTCATAATATTTTATTTTTTCCACTTTTTGAAATAATCTTGTCTGTTAATAATTATAATGAAATATTTTATTTTTAAAATTTATTAAAATTGTATATTGAGAATACAAAATTAAATTTATTATTCAATTAAAAATTTAAATTAAATTAAAAAAAAAAATTAGAATTTTATTATTTCTAAAAAACAATTAAATATTTGCGAAAAATTTTACTTTAAAAAGATTTCTTGAAAAGAATTTGAATTTTAATTGAAATTTTTGAAAGTAATTGAAATTCTGTAAAGAGTTCAATTATTTATTAAAAAAATTTAACTATGGACAAGAATTTTTTTTAAATTTTTGAAAAATAATTAAAATTTTTCGAAGAATTTTATTATTGATGAAAATAATTGAAATCCAACGAAGGATTTTATTTTTTTATGAAGAAAATTGAATTCTTGCGAAGAATTTTAAAATAATTGAAATTTTAAAAATAATTTAAGTTTTATAATGATAATTGATTTTTTCAGAAGAATATTATTAAATTTTTTGAAAATGATTGAAATCCTTTGAAAATTTTCCTATTATTTATGGAAAATAATTGCAATCTTGTAAAGATTTTTATTAAAATTTTTGAAAAATTATATAATTGTTTCAATAAAAATTTCAATTCTTTAAAGGAATTTAATAAAGATTGTATTGAAAATAACTGAATTTTTAGGAAGAATTTTATTAAAATTTTAGAAAATAATTGAATTCTTTTGGAAGATTTTATAACGAATTAAGAAAAAAATTTAATTTTGCTGTGAAATTTTATTGATAATATTTGGATTTTTGCAAAGATTTTACTAATTTACAAAAATAATGAAATTCTTTCGTGAAACTTTACTAAAATTTTGTTGAAAATAAAATAATTGAATTTTTGCTAAATATTTTGCTATTTATAAACATAATTGCATTATTTCGAAGAATGTTATTATTTATGAAAATAATTCAATTCTTGCAAAGAATCATATTAAAATTTTTGAAAATATAAACAATAATAATTAATTATGTACTTAATAAGTGAATTTTAAAAATTTTTGATTATGAAATTATTAAAAAATTCATAATATTTAAAAAAAATTTTGCAATTTGAATAATTATAATAATAATACAAAATGGAATACCACATTCCCCGCGTAATATTTGCTACTGTTTTATAATAATTATCATTTCAGGCCAGAAATGCTGTCAAACAATTGCGGACAGAATCATGTCTAAAGGCATTAAAACTATTCAAATTACCAAAACCAGTGTTAGACGTTCCTACCAGGTGGAACTCGACCTATGACATGTTGTCTTCATTAGTCTCGGCAAAAAATGTCTGTAATGATTTAGCTGACAATAAGGAAGTGTTGAGAATAAGTGACATTGAGTGGGAGAGAATGGAAACCTGCATTAAAGCTTTAGAGCCTAGTAAAATTGCTACCAAAAAAATGCAATCCGAGAATCTTGTACCCGGAGATTTATACGGTATTTGTCGAGAGTGCAAAAAAAATACGAATAAAGTAAATTCGAATTTTGCAGCGAATCTACTAACTGCTTTCATCGAAAGAGAGGACAGTTTATTAAAAAACGAAGCACTTCTCTGCTCTATGTTTTTAGACCCGAGGTATTTGCCTTTCTTATCAATTAAAGATTGCATTACAGCAAAGACAAAACTCAAAAGTCTTTATGAAAAAATTGAGTTTTTAAAAAAAGACCCCAATTGTCAAAACTCGGTTGATGCTGAAAGCAGTTCATCAAACACTGTTACAGACATTCAGGTACGTTGCAATAACATTTTATTAGGGAGCGTTCACAAATGATGTCACGTTTTTGGGGGAGGGGGGTCTCTACTAAACGGGACACAATGTATTTTTACATGAGAAATTGCGTGATATCATTTATGAACGCTCCCTTAATTCGTATTTTATAAATTCGGATTAGGGGAGAGTGGGGCAAAGGCAAACTAAAATTATCATTTCATCTTTGCAAAAACTATTTTTTTGTAATATTTCTTAAAATATTTGATATTTTTAAGTTTTTCTTTTTTTAAACAATTGATGTGCTTGTATTGAAACTAAATTCTTAACACGAAGTGAAATAGACAAAAAATAAAGGAGATATTGTAAAAAACGTCATTGCCCCGCATAGCGTCTTTGCCCCACTGTCCCCCATTTTAATTTTCATAAAGAACAATTTTTAACGACGTTTATAGAGTTGTTATAAATGTGACGTCCGTGGTAAAAGGTATCTTACGCATTTAGGTTATGTTGACGATCGTTATACCTATTGGTTAATACGAATATCTATATATTTAAGACCAGAATTAATTCCTATTTAATATTTTAGATATATAATGAAGATTTAATATCATTAAGCACTGAAAGTTAATTCCTTTTTTATTTATTTTCACATTAAAAATAATCATCATAATAACCTAAAATTTTTCAACGTATGGTAATTTTTACTGCGGAACTTAAAATATTTGCCCGAAAATGTTAAACGAAAACAATATTTTTTGTCTTTCTGCAGGATTGTGACGAAAACATGGAGGAAGACTTTCTTGAAGAAGAAAGAAAGAAGATGGACGAGGAGAGACTGAAACATTTAAACCCTCCGAAAACGACGATTGAACAATTGTTAATAGATTTTGAAAAAACAAAAAGCATCAGTAGGAAAGAAAACATTTTACTTTTTTGGGAAACAAGAAAGTCTATCCAGCCAGAATTGTACGAGTTAGCTGTAATTGTACATGCTGTTCCTATGACCGAGGTTAGCGTGGAAAGGCTCTTTTCAGGAATGAAATTTGTATTTTCTGATTTCCGCGCCAACCTCCACCCTGATATTTTAGACGACATCCTTTTATTAAGATCAAATGAAAACTTTCAGACAATTAAATTAAAACAAGATAAGAAAAAATAGATTTGCTTAGAAGAAGAAATAGTAATTTGAGGTTTATTTAAAATATACGTATTTTACGTATTTTAACGCAAAAAGTAATTTAAAATTACTCAACAGATCTCTCTTTTAAAATTGATTAAAAATTACGTTGTCAAACAGATTTATAAAGATATTGATACTTTATGTTTAGGCAATTTTAATAACTTATTGTCTTTAGTTTTTTATATTTAAGTAAATTTTAATTTTGTTAAACTATTTGAATAAATTTAAGTAAAATAATTTACTTTAAATAAACATAATTAGATGAATTTTGTTTTTCATATTGATAAATAAAAAAATTGTATAATTTTATAAATAAAATTTTTGTTAACAATTTTATTGTGAAAATACTTTAAAGGGACTTTCTGGTGCAGAATTGTTAAAAAAATTATATCTTTTAATTTATATTTAAAATTTTAAAGATATGCGTTAAATAGTAAATTTTCAACTATATTTGAATTAGTGTCTGCCATTTAAATTCTTAGTCAGTTATTTTTCACTGATTCAAACGCTGAGAGTAGTTTTTTCGTATTTTAATTTAATAGGAAAAAGTAATGTTTGAATATCATCAAAGAGTTAAGGAAAATATAGGGGAGACTGGGGCGAAATGTTAAACTGTCAAAACAGTTAAAATTCATTATATTTTGAACGGAAATAGTTAGAGCATTGTAATTTTAATTAAAGAAGGGTGTTATCACCCTAAATAAATGTCCGGAGTTATGTGACATTCTGTTCAATTTTGTGGTTTCCATATTTAAATTATTTTTTCACCCTACTTTTGAAAATTTTTTCGTAAAAGACGGTAAAAGAAAATATAAACTTTTAAGTATATTTTTTGAATTTATTCTTATTGCGATTTCTTTAGGTTCTTATTTGGGTTCCCTGAAGAGATACCTAAAGGTATTTGCTAAGTATCTTTAGTCAGATTTTTTATATTTGTTGTTAAGGGGACTTTCTGGTTTAGAATTTCAAAAAAATCGATTTTTTTTTGCTTAAAAATGTTCCTTAGTATCATAGAATTACTGTCCCAAAACGATTTTTAAAAAATATGTACAAAAACAAAAGTTATAACAATATTTATGACGGTATGTATTTCAACAACAATCTACAGTTATCTTATTTACATATTTGGTGTTCCTCTTTTATTGATATTAGCTTGAAACATGTTACTCGAGGGTTTTTGGGGTCGCTGATTACGAATTTGATGCCAGTTTTTGAAAATACAAAATGGCGGATCCAATATGGCGGACGAAAAAATAAAAATTCAACCGGATTTGCTTAAAACTTGTTACTCGGGGGTTTTTGGGGTTGCTGATTACGAATTTGATGTCAGTTTTTGAAAATACAAAATGGCGGATCTAATATGGCGGACAAAGATTAAGAAATTAATTAAATTTAGTTGAAAATGGTTACTTTTGGCCTTTTGAGATTGCTAGTTATGAATATAGGCACAAAACATTAACGTTCTAGTTTTAAGCAAATCCGGTTGAATTTTTATTTTTTCGTCCGCCATATTAGATCCGCCATTTTGTATTTTCAAAAACTGACATCAAATTCGTAATCAGCGACCCCAAAAACCCCCGAGTAACAAGTTTTAAGCAAATCCGGTTGAATTTTTATTTTTTCGTCCGCCATATTGGATCCGCCATTTTGTATATTCAAAAACTAACATCAAATTCGTAATCAGCGACCCGAAAAACCCCCGAGTAGCAAGTTTTAAGCAAATCCGGTTGAATTTTTATTTTTTCGTCCGCCATATTGGATCCGCCATTTTGGATTTTCCAAAACGGACATCAAATTCGTAATCAGCGACCCCAAAAACAGCGGGATACGAAGTTCTGTTGTAATAAAAAGTTGTTTGATATTCATGACTCAATGAATTATGTTATGAAAACTTTAAACGCGTTTTTCTCGAAAACTCATTTTTCAAACTGGTACAGAGCTTTTCTCGAAATCTACCGAACCGATTTTGAAATCCCAAAAATTTTTTGATTCTTTATTTAAAAAACTGGTGCCTAAACCTCTAAAAACTCATATTTCTACCGCCTGTGTTTTTATATGGAGGTAAATTGACCCAAAAACACGGCGTTTTTGCGAGTTTTTGAGAAAAATGTACATATAAAATAAAAAAACCTTTAAAAAAAATCGTTTTTGAGGTTTAGGCACAAGAATAAATCCTTATGAAGAGATTCCCGTTTGGAACTTGAATTTATGTATTACAGGTTGCCCGGAATCTAACGTACCAAAAAAAGGTATCTTTTGGAAGACGCCACCTACAGCTATGAAATTGAACTAAATACACTCAAACATATTTTTTAAATTTTCTCTACGCAATGTGCTACAATGTCCAAAAATAGTTTTTACAATTTCTTTAATACTGTTCTTACAATAAAAGTTTTAAAACCTTCCTTTTTTGTCAATTCTAAACCAGAAAGTCCCCTTAAAGCCAAAAATGCACCCTGGGGCAAATAGTTAAATGTATTTTTTCATGTTGTTAAAAATATTTTTTACATTTTTCGTTTTTTTGGGTTTATTTGTTTAAAAATTATTTATTTGACATTAGGCAAGTACTCTGTCAAAAAACCAGACCACTCACGTGAAATAAACCAACATTTTTTTTTAATTTTAGTTTATTAACTTTATAACTGTTCTAAATCTTTTATTAACTAAATTACTTGTTTACGTATACTTTAACTAATCTACTGCTAAACGCCAATACACATGCTATATACATGCAACACATTTTTGCATTTAAAATGTACACTAAACATTACTTTGAATGTTTAATTCTTGTCAATCTGGTATTAGAGTTCAAAACATTAAATTCGTAATCAGTGACTCCGAAAACCCCCGAGTAACTAGTTTTAAGTGAAATCGTTAAATTTTTAAAAATTCGTCCTCTATATTGAATCCGCCATTTTGAATTTTTGAAAACTAATCGCGGTTTCGTAATCAGCGACTCCAAAAACCCCCGAGTAACTAGTTTTAAGTGAAATCGTTGAATTTTTAAAAATTCGTCCTCTATATTGAATCCGCCATTTTGAATTTTTGAAAACTAATCGCGGTTTCGTAAACAGCGACTCTAAAAACCCCCGAGTAACTAGTTTTAAGTGAAATCGTTGAATTTTTAAAAATTCGTCCTCTATATTGAATCCGCCATTTTGAATTTTTGAAAACTAATCGCGGTTTCGTAAACAGCGACTCTAAAAACCCCCGAGTAACTAGTTTTAAGTGAAATCGTTAAATTTTTAGAAATTCGTCCGCCATATTGAATCCGCCATTTTGAATTTTTGAAAACTAATAGCGGTTTCGTAATCAGCGACTCCGAAAACCCCCGAGCAACTAGTTTTAAGTGAAATCGTTGAATTTTTTAAAATTCGTCCGCCATTTTAAATTTTTGAAAACTTATAGCGGATTCGTAATCAGCGACCCAAAAATATCGTAGTAACAATTTTTAAGCAAATCTGATGGGTTTTTATTTATTTTGATTTAGATATTTTTCAGGGACCGCTTCTAAAACGAAACTAAATAGAAATTACTTTCGTTTTAGTGTTTGAGTTGACGCGAAACTAAATTAACAAAGTGACTTTAGTTTCAAGTCGACACGAAACTAAAATTAACAAACTGAGTTTAGTTTCGTGTCGACTCAAAACAAAAGACTGAAACACATAATTATTTAGTGTCAACCACAGAAAAATTGTTTCCCTTGCCATCCGTAACTAGAGCAACGTAAGTAATTAATGTAAGTTACGTAACCAGAGTAAATTACGTAACTACAGTAACTTACGAAACCAGAGTAAATTACGTAACTACAGTAACTTACGTAACTAGAGTAAAGTACGTAACTACAGTAACTTGCGTAAATGGTCACACTTACGTAAGTTACGTAACCAGAATAACTTACACAATTAATCAAACTTACACAAGTTACGTAACTTACGTAAATGATGGAATTTACTCAACCAACGCAAATAATCACCATTTACGTAAGTTACGTAATTTACACAAATGGTCAAAATTACTTCATTTGTACAATTAGTCGAACTTACGTAAGTTACGTAAAATGATCAAATTTACTTCGTTTGTGTAATTAATCAAACTTACGTAAGTTGCGTAACTTACGTAAGTTTGATTAATTGCGTAAGTTATTCTAGTTTCGTAACTTACGTGAGTTTGATTAATTGCGTAAGTTATTCTAGTTACGTAACTTCCTTTAACCCTCTGCCTACGCTGACTTATCCCCACTTTAGCGCTTTTGAATGTAATTCCCATAGTCCCCACCAGGCGTCCAAATAGACGATTTAAGATGATAACGGTCACATGAGTAGGCAGAGGGTTAATTATGTAAATTACTATAGTTACGTAATTTACTCTAGTTACATAACTTACATTAATTACTTACGTTGTTCTAGTTACGTAAGTCAGGGGAAACAATTTTTCTATGATTGACACTAAATAATTATGTTTTTCAATCTTTTGTTTTGAGTCGTCACGAAACTAAATCTCATTTGTTAATTTAGTTTTGGGTCGACACGAAACTAAACTCAGTTTGTTAATTTAGTTTCGTGTCGACTTGAAACTAAAGTCACTTTGTTAATTTAGTTTCGTGTCAACTCAAACACTAAAACAAAACTAAACTTTCGAGACGGTCCCTGATATTTTTATCAAAATTAGTACAAAAAAGAATTTTGATTTTGATATTTTTATCAAAATTAATACAAAAAAGAATTTTGATATTGATATTGGAACCAAAACTAAATAGAGTGGAATTTTGATTTTGATATTGGAACCAAAACTAAATAGAGTGAAATTTTGATATTGTAACCGAAACTAAATAGAGTGGAATTTTGATTTTGATATTGTAACCGAAACTAAATAGAGTGGAATTTTGATTTTGATATTGTAACCGAAACTAAATAGAGTGGAATTTTGATTTTGATATTGTAACCGAAACTAAATAGAGTAGAATTTTGATTTTGATATTGTAACCGAAACTAAATAGAGTGGAATTTTGATTTTGATATTGGAATCAGACCA